CCAGTCTAGGCATAGGGCTATATGCATGAGAGATTGCAAACTTTATCATGTACTAGCCAGGAAGTATGGAATGGCTCAGTTTTGACTAATACTGGAATTTGCAGAAACCCAGAATAGAAATCACATTATAAAATAGTGGATATTTAAAGATTATTATTAATAATAATTGTTTATTGCATCTTAGAAATATACAGTTCTTTCAGTATATAGCAATAGGAATATTAATCAATACAGAAAAATAAAATATAACAAGTTAAAAAGAATTTTTAAAAAGTAAATACAATATAATAAGTTCAAATCACATGTTTTGTGTGCGTTGTTGGTAATGCCATGCAGATAAAATGTGCAACGTGCTTAATTGAGGTTTTGTCTGTTATTGTCATTTGAATATTGTAGAGTTGGGATGGATGCATTTGGTTTCTTCGTGTTCATGCAAATATTGTATTTACATTATTAGTTTTATGTTAATGCATTGCAGAGGCGGCGGCACGAAATGTTGCATGAGGGGGCGAAATCTGAAATCTAGACCCTCTGAAACGCCATTTCCTGCATTTTGAGGAGCAAATTTTGCTGACACAACAGGGTTTCAGCTTGATTGTTTCGGGGGGGGGGGCGACCACCCCTCTTCCCTCGGTGTCGCCGCCACTGTTTTCCCATGGTTTTCGCGACTACTGTAAAATGACTAATTTTCACTGGGTTTAAATTTCACTGATTTACCATTTCAGGCATATTCAGTGGGTTTTAAATTCACAGTTTTATCATTTAGATAATGTGTTCTAAGCACAATTTTACATATTCACTGGGTTTTAATTTAGCGCATTTTTCAGTCAGCGAAAAAAACCAAATTAAAACCCAGTGAATAATTAACCCCTTTACAGTATCTTCAATCACAGTTACTAGAAGAATTCTTCTCGTAACCGTGCTTCAATATACTAGTTGTGCATCTTTCAAAGAAAGATAGGGGGTATTGACACTTAAAGTATTGTGTAATCACGAGCATGTAGGTAGCCTTAGATTTAGCCTCATATTGAGCCACGTATTCTGCTTCAGATTCAAAACCCAGTTTCAGATTCAGAGCTCTTACCATCACATTTTGTTGCGTGAAAATAAATTCTCCCGATCGATCATCATAGTACAAAGCAAATAAGTTCCAACAATTTATTTGAATAATATTTTTGGTATTTTCTCAAAATATCAAGTATATATTCAAAATCGTAGACCTGGATAAACCCGTTGAAAAACTAATATACTGTATGTCTGATTTATCACTACATATTGTGATCACCAGAATAACAAATTAAAGTTAAATCAAATATTATATATACATATTTATAAATAAACAAAATAATACAAATTAAAAAAAATAAAAATGAAAAAAAGTTCAAGCTAAGATATTATTTGAATCAGATTAAATGCTTAGCAATTAACACAATTTAATTCATCATTAGTTTGACATCATACATGAAGAGAGCATTTAAAGCCAAGACTGGGTTCGAATCTGAGGCTAACTTCACGCTCATTGTGTGTCCTCATGTCCATGGAAGTATATCCTATCACACTGTTATTTCTGTGATACCTTATATGACCATGGGATAAGGAATTCTGCTGTTTGTTGGAGTTGTATTCATTTGGCACGAAAGTGGATACATTATCGGACGTCGAAATTCAAATGTGAAAGCTTTTTAGGGAGCGATCAGCTTTCATGATTTCAACATACACGCTCGCACGTTAAAACATAAAATTGGAGATTATTTACGAGTGCATGTTATTGCTTCACTTTTGTTGGAACCACCAAACGGCGGACAATTTGTCTGAAACTGTGTTCTAGTAAAACATCACATCTCTACAAATCAGGGTAAGTGCCTGCCTGTGGCTTGCATAACATGTTTGGCCGGGCTAGCTGTTCGATCTCGTAACGCAGCAGCGTGTCATTTATCCAAAATGGCGACGTCAGAGTTAAAAGTTTTCGGTTGCGTGGTTTTTCATTTGGATATTTTGGTGTTAACTCGATATATCCCACGTAAATATATTCAGTGATATACTAGTAACCAGCGTTTACAAACCGCGCTTCGAACCAGTAACATGTATAATTACGTAACCCCATGTACGACGATGACCGGTACTGACCTTTTTTATGCAAATTATAATGCCGTACAATCCCCCATTACAACCACAGTATCCAACACTAATCGACCTATTTTTTTTATCACTACTATGGTTATCAAAAGACCGCCATAAAACCATGTACGACAGTATACATTATTGTAATGTTAATGTCCAACCGCAAATCCCAGGACAAATGTTGTCCTATGGTTGCTAGCCTTCAGTAACCCCTAAACATGGATGGCCTAAATATTATTGGAGTCCATGGATCTCCATGCTAAAACCACCGGCATATTGCTATTGCTGCATTGTATTAGCTTCTGTGCACCCTGAGCGTGTTAAGAATATGTCTGTCAGAATGTGTATTCTTAATGAAATGACACCAGTGCTCATTAGTTTTTGTTAGACATCTTGGAATAATAAAATGTACCGTAATTTACATAATATGTAGGTATGTACATAGTTCTGTTTCAGAATCTCTTTTATTAAGGTAGAGATGCAGTTTATTTGGCTTGCTTTTTAATTGAGTAATTAGACAATGAAGATGGTATTATATATCCAACATGTTATATATTTTCTGAAAGCTTATTATACAACTTTGTAAAAATTGTCTTTATTTTAAATATCCAGAATGCGTTTTTGATTTTGGGTCAAAATATGCTTTTTTGGACAAAAGTGGTTTAAAAAAAATTACTTAAAAACTTCAAGTCCATTTGTGGATAAAATTACATCACTGGATACCTTGGTATACTACTAATTCAAATGCGTCCACTCATCTCTCTAACGACTTTCAAAGTCGCACAGCATGACCTCAAAGTTCACTCTTTTCTATTTTTGCATAATTTATATATCCATGTTAATTGTGGACTTGTTATTTTTGTTCCACTCGCCGTAATAAACTGTCCGGACGCATTTTGAAGGGGGAACACCTTGTCAATAATGTGTGAAAATTTCGAGGCAAATGGCCAAAGCGTCTATCAGCTATTTTAATTTAAAACCCAAGAATTCACCAAAAATAGAAGACGAGAAAAAGGCTAATTTGCATATTTGCGCGTTAAACCGGGAATTACTGTTTTGTCATACTTT